CTGAGGTAGCAGAGCAAAGAGCCCACAGAATGAAAATATCTTATCCATCTAGACAGGGGTTAATATTTAGGATATATCTTTATCTGTCTAACTGCAAAAATGGAACACTAAAACAAAACTGTCAATCTACAAAAGATCTAAGGAAAAAATGAACAAAAGAAGAAACATAAATAGCAAATAGGTATTTTAAAATGTTCAGTGTCCTTCGCCATCAGGAAAATGCAAATTAAAACGACTTTGAGGTTCCATCAGAATAGCTATTATCAAGAAAAGAGGAGGCTGGGCATGGTGGACATGCACACCTTTAATCCCGTACTCAGGAGGCAGAGATAGACAGATCCTGTGAGTTCAAAGCCAGCCTGGTCTACATGTAGCGAGCTGCGTGGAATCACAACTGATGGAGATGTATAATCACCTCCTATGGCTAAAGTCTGACCTATGCTATGATCACGCAATGATTATCATCTGCCTGCATATGCGTGAACCTATGGGCAGTGCCCACCTGGCAATCTGGGATTGGCAGCCCATGCCTACTTAAGGGCTTGGAGAGGTTTGCCCGGAGAGAGGAGAGAGAGAGGAAAAAAGGAGAGATGAGAGAGGTCAATGGAGAGAGAGGGGAAGAGAGGAAGAGAGAGAGAGAGTGAATAAAGGTCTTGGAATAAACTGCAGTGAGAAGAGCTCCGGTGGTCGCGTCATTCCTTGCTGGCTGAGGTGGGGTGTGACAGTTGGTGGCCTCGTACGGGGACAAGCTTACGGGGAACCTCCAAACCTCTCTCCGTGGAGCCCAGAACTTGCTACAGTCAGGGGGTGCACCAAATAATCCTCAAGGTAAAGATTGGGGATCCTCAACAAAAGGCGGGTTTTCCACTCTTGCCGGTAGAAGAAGGGAGAGTGGGGGTAATAGGGCCGCCACCAAAGCGGACGGTTTAAAGTCAGAGCCACGATCAAAGTGGACGGTTTAAAGTATAGCCACGACAATAGTGGACAGTTTAAAATGAAAATAAAAGGAAGAATAGGATTTTAGAATGGGCGCTTCAACATCACACCTGATTTTTCTGGCTCTTAACGAGCTGTTAAGGTTTGTTAAGCCTTTGGAGAGGTTTTTGGCTGAAGGTGACACAATTGCTCTTTGGTTTGCCGTCTCTGGCAATCTTAATGTGTCATCCTGGGACAGGCTTGGTAGAGATCTGAATTTTGCTGCTGAACAAGGTACGCTAAGGAAGGGAGGTATATTTGTGTGGTTTGAGTTACCGAGACCTCCGAAGTTTGTAGTGGAGTGTGAGCAGCTGCAGCTCCAAGGTCAAGCAGCGCTGAGGGTCTGCAAAACGGCAAACACCGGGACCTGCCTCAGGGCATAGAAGCACAACCACGGTAAGATCTGTTGGCCTGAACCTCTGTCCCAGTCCAGGGCAACCAGCTGGACCGGGGTCAGGGCTGGCCGCTCAGCCCCGCCACACCTCCACCTTACAGCACGTTGGGGAAGTGAAGTCTCCACCTCTCCCCTGTCTCTGCGAACCGAGTCCGAGCATGACTGGAAAATAGCAGTAGATTGTAGCAAATACCTTTAAGAATGCCACATCCCCGCTCAGCAGGAAGTAGCCAGAGAGATTGACAACGCCCAAATCCCCTAAAACACGGTTTAAGCGGGGCCCTTTCAGAGCAGAAGCAGGATCAGCTGGGTTGCTAGGGAAGCCAAAGAGGTGCACGAGGGAGAAAGTGTCTTCCATGCACTCAGCTGACAAGAATGAATGTGCCACGGGGTATGGAAGCTGGGGTATGTTAAGTCTATACCCTAGTCTGTCAGACATTTCTATCCATCTGGGGCTGTGTGTGACCAGCATTCAATATGACTCATGCAACTAATCTGTCTAAAGAACTGTCTAGCTATCTTTTAGGTAATTGGTCTGGTGAATTCGAACAACAACTGGAAAAGCTGCGAGTGACGATGATGACTGCAGATTCCACACGCATGGATGCCAGCCTGGCAGAAGAACTATCTTCCTGGATCACTCCATGGATCATCTGAAGGAGTGGGCGGGATAGGAGCCCTAACAAGGCTTAATGGTGCTTGCCTCCCTGGTATGCCTGTGGTGCATAAGGGTTTCACAACATCGAAATGCAGTTATGATCATTCAGGCCTTCACGGTCATTGAAGCAGGACAGTCTCCCCAAGTTTGACTAGAGATGTAAGCGAGCACAGGATGCAAAGCTTGCGCACTGCACTTGAGGTAAGCATACGTCAGCCTCAAGAAGAGCAAGTCTGATTGCATGTGGGTTGGTGTCTAGCTCCCACCTCTGTAAAAAGACACCGGACAGGTCTAGCGTTCTCTGAGTGGATGACACTTGGACAAACACTAGTACATGTTCCATTTTTAACAGAGATCAGACCTCTACTCTTACCTGGTGCTTTGCAAAACAAAAGGGGGAACTGTAGCGAGCTGCGTGGAATCACAACTGATGGAGATGTATAATCAACTCCTATGGCTAAAGTCTGACCTATGCTATGATCACGCAATGATTATCAGCTGCCTGCATATGCGTGAACCTATGGGCAGTGCCCACCTGGCAATCCGGGATTGGCAGCCCATGCCTACTTAAGGGCTGGGAGAGGTTTGCCCGGAGAGAGAAGAGAGGTCAACGGAGAGAGAGGGGAAGAGAGGAAGAGAGAGTGAATAAAGGTCCTGGAATAAACTGCAGTGAGAAGAGCTCTGGTGGTCGCATCATTCCTTGCTGGCCGAGGTGGGGCGTGACATCTACAGAGCAAGTTCCAGTGCTACACAGTGGGTCTCTGTTTCACAGAAAGATAAGAAAGCAAGAAAGCAAGAAAGGAAGGAGGAGAAAGAGAGAGAGAGAGAGAGAGAGAGCAGCAAATGCTGGTGAAGATGTAAGGAAATGGAAACCTTTAAGTCAAGCATGGAGGGAGTAACGCACGCCTTTAATCTGAGCACTCAGGAGACAGATGCAGGAGACTCTGTGAGTAAATAAACCATCATGGTCTTCAGAGCTAGTTCCCAGACAACCTGGGCTGTTACACAGAGAAACCCTGTCTCAAAACAAAGCAAAGCAAAGACAACCAAAACCCCATATAACAGCAGCAGCAAAAAACCCCTTAAGTCCTGGTTGGACTCTTTTGTTTTTCAACTTGACACAAGCTAGTTACTTGGGAAGAGGAACCTAATTTGAAAACTTGCCTCCCTAATATTTACTTATGGGCAAGTCTCTCAGGCATTTTCTTGATGAATGATTGATGTGGGCAGTGCCACTCCTGGACAGCTGATACTGGGTTGTATAAGCAGACTGAATAAGCCGTGAGGAGCAAGCCAGTAAGCAGCACTCCTCCATGGCTTCCTGCCTTGAGTTCCTGCCCTGACTTCCCCCAGTGATGGAGTGTGACCGGACATCTCTAAGATGAAATAAACCCTTTCCTCCCCAAGTTGCTTTTGGTCACGGTGTCTTATCACGGCAATATAAATTCTAATTAAGACACCATACCAGTCCAGTGTTAGCAGAGAGTCAGCTAATGAAGTCATCAAAAAAAGTAAAACCTAGGACTTCCGTATGTCCCAGCTGTCTCACTCGTGGACAGATACTCAAGGGATGCTCTGTAACCGACCACAGGGTCACTTGAGCATCCGTGCTAACTGCTGTCTTATTCACAAGAGCAAGGACATGGAGTCAGCCTAGCCGCTCATCAGCTGATGGGAGGATAGTGAAAACGTGATATGTACGCGCAATGGAATTCTGTTTGGTGTGAAGAAAACAGAAACCACGAATTTTGCAGGAAAATGGATGGGTTGGGAAAATATTGTGTTAAGTAAGGTGACCTAGACTCAGAAAAATAAAAATCATGTATTCTCTTTCCATAAGGGTTGTAGTTCATCAAGTCTATAAATAGGTATATAAGTAGGGATAAGCATGGATAGAGAAGCTGAAACCAGAAAGGTAGCCAGGAGAAGGGAGAGGGAGTTTGGGAGCGGGGTGGGCAATAGGACTATGTGATGTGAGACTCGAGAGAAAGCTACTGGGTGGAGGGTATTAGAAGAACACAAGGGGGCTAGAAGAGAAGTGTGGGGGAGAAGATCAAACAAAAGCTAATCTTGTTTGAAAATTCCATAATGATTTTATAATTTTAGAGTGTTGCGCATACTAATTGAAAAGAGCCTCAATTCCATGTAGTGAAGTCAGGACTTCTCGCCTGCAGTCTCTAGATCCTGGGTGGTTTGCTTGTGGGATTTGCCACTTGTCTGTGAATATGGCTTCTGCTTGTTCTGAGCAATGTTACACAGCAGTAAGTTTGCTTCCAGGATTTCTGAAGCACAGGCGTTGATTGGTGGAGTCCCAGGAGTGTAACCACAAGCATGCAACTCTGCTTTTCCTTTTCCTGGGATGGTTTACAAAGGTTCCTCCTGTTTCAGTTTTGAGACAGTGTCTCACCATGTAGCCCTAGCTGACCTGGAATTTATGGTGGAATCCAGACTAGCAATGGTCCTCCTGCCTCTACCTTCCAGGGGCTGAAACTACAGATGTGAGACACTGTATCCAGTTCCATCGTTTTCTTAACAGTGTGGTTATAGACCCGGCACAGCACAGCTACTAAACGTGGAGCTCTTGGGAACTCAACCACAACCGTTGAATGCTTTCTGTATGTCTCTTGGGGAATATTAGGTTACCCACCCACATTTTGAATTTGCTTTTATTCAGTCAAAGAGGGTAAATGCTAGATTGAGATCTATATAGTTTTTCATATTGTTATCCAATTTGATATGAATAAAAAAACACAGAAATCAACAAAAAGTATTTAATTTTGTTACATTCAAAAGTTGGCTAAAATAAACTGCACATTGCATAAGCTATCACAGATTCCAATAGCCTCACCCTTTCGGTCACCACACTACCCATCTCAAATGCAATCCTTTCCCCTGACTCAAAATTCTCAGTAAAAAAAAAAAAGAAAGAAAAAAAAGAAAAAAAAAACCAAGAAAGTTGAGACTGGGTAGGAGGATTCCAAACTCCAGGCTTTAGCAGCTGAAGGCACTGAAGACATAAATTAGGTGGAGGAGCTCCTAGCCGGCCTTGGCCAGCTCTGCCTCGCAGACCCAGCGGAAGGACCTCTGGCAGGCGTCATCATTCCAGTTACCAGCAGAGGTGAACTGAGCACAGTCCTCGCCTCCTCCAAGCCCATGTCCATACCAGTTATCTGGCTGCTCTGGGGCCCAGTTCCTATGAGCAGACACAGGGGTGAGTCTCCAGAATCCAGACTCTACCCCCTGCCCCAGGGCCAAAGCCTTGGGAGAAGAGGTGGTCTCTGGCCAAAGGCCACTAGATGAGGGCACAATGCAACACACACTCACTTAAAGCCTTTCTCCAGTTCCGTTCCATCCACCCATCGCCAGGGCCCATTTTGGTCTGTGAGGCCCATCCAAGTGACTACGTGGGCTAACTTATCCTGTAGAAAATTCTGAAGAAAGAAGAGGGTGTGGTAACCTGTTCCTTAGACCAGAGAGCCCCCCCCAAGGAGCCTCCCCACCCAGACATCACCTGCTCCTCCATGGAGTTGACCATCACCAGGTGAGCATTCTCCAGCTGGCAGTACTTGTCAGCCTCAGGCCATGACTTCCTAGTTTGAGAGAACCAGTAGCAGCTGCCTTCATGCTTTACCCAGTGAAGGGGGCAGCAGGTCCTTTTAGAGTCTACAAAAGGAAAAGGGGGGGGATGGAGAACAGAGGCGCTGTCTAATATGCCATATTCCAATAACTGGAACAAACTATACCCGTCCACCTCCTCACCGAGGTTGGCCAGCTGGCACGACAGGGCCTTCAAGTCCTTCCCCAGCTGTTGGACACGCTCCATTATTTCAGAAAGATCTGGGACACACAGATGGACGTGAGACCAGCGCTCTACTGCCACAGCTGCTTGGCGAGTCCCTGGTGCTCAGGTGGCCTGGACAGGGCTTAGCTAGGAACGTCACACACTGCACACACGCACACCTCCTCCCAGGGTACAGGAAACCGAGCTCTAACCTGTTTTCAGGGCCTGTTCCTTTTTCTCCACTGTGCTCTCCAGAGAAGTCACCTTCTGGCTCAAGTTTCGGCCTGGAAGACGATGGTTCAGCCCCAGGGACCAATTTGCCCACACCCACTGCCCACTCTTAGAGACCCGGGCCTCTCACCTGCCAGCAGTTCCTGCCTGTGATCGTCCACGTCCACTTTTAGAGAACTGATCCTTTCTTGCAAGCTGTCACCTGCGGAACAAGGGACTGGATCAGGACTCTGTCCTCCCTACCCAGCCCACTCCTGCCCAGAACCTGGTCAGAGCCCAACTCACCCTTGGAGTTCAGGGCCTGTAGTTCATCCTTCATGTAGGAGGTGAGGTTTTCTGAACTGGCTCTCAGGGTGCCTAGGTCCCTCCTTAACTGGGAATCTGATGGGGACGATAGAATGATCAGAACCAAGATTGCTCAGTCCCCTCTGTGGCAGCACTAAGATGGACACTGCATGCAGGGTAGCATTCTGGGTCCCACTGGGGCAGACACCGTTGTTACCCAGGATTGCACTGGAGCCAACTGAGGCTTAGGAGGTGAGGTAATGCACAAGAATGAGTCACATGGCCAGCAGCCATCCCCTTCATGGGTCCTTGTGTCCCCACCAATGTCCCTACCACTGCTCTCAGCTATTTCCCCACACGGGTCCCTGTCCATTATGTGTCTCTGCTGTTAACCTTGCCATTGCCCTGGCCCTCACTGCTGTCCTTAAGTCTTTGCACCCATCACTGCCTCCGCCCACCCTGCACACCAACACCCCTGTGATTCCTCTCTTCCCTGCGATGCCGAGGGCACCCACTTTGGGATCCAATCACAGCGACAACCACCAGCAGCAGGAAGCCAAGGCCCAGGGAGAAGAGGAGGAGGTGGGTCCACGAGAAGACATTCCACAGGAAGGACTGGGGAGGAGCCGCTAAAAGAAAAGAGGGGGTGTCAGGACTCAGGGGTTTCAGATTGTAAGAGGGAGAGAGAAAGAAGGGAAGGAGTTTCTGGGGTGAGGAGACCGCCGAAGGCTTGTCACTGGAAGTGGAGAGGACATAGCTAGAGAATTGGGGGACTCTGGGTGCCCGGGCGTTTGATGCCTCCAAAGCATTGAACATTTGCAGTTCCTTGAACCTCTCACAGCCCTGAGGTCGTGTTTAACACCCACTAGGAATTCACATGCATATAAGCACACAGAATCTAGCACAGTGCTAATGATGTCTTGACATCAGAGCGGGGAGGCACAATAGGGCAAAAATAGGGGCAGCCAGGTCCCTAACACATGTCTGCATGGTCAAATAAAAGAGTTCCATTCCAGGGGGCTGGAGAGATGGCTCAGTGGTTAAGAGCATTGCCTGCTCTTCCAAAGGTCCTGAGTTCAATCCCCAGCAACCACATGGTGGCTCACAACCATCTGTAATGAGGTCTGGTGCCCTCTTCTGGCCTGCAGACATACACACAGACAGAATATTGTATACACAATAAATAAATAAAAAAAAAAGAGTTACATTCCAAATCCAACTAAGTGCATTGCACACTCCTTATCTCCCCACAGAGCACAGGAAGCCAAATCACCAAGGTCTTCCTTGGTCCTGTCTTATTGAGGACTTTGTATCCTCTTCACAACGGGCCGCCAGTGCTTAGTCCTGTCCCCACCAGAGTAAGGCACACAACAGTGCCCAGGGTGGATACATAGACAGACTATGACAGCAGAAATCCTAGTGGACTCGTGGAGAGGAGGACCTGCTAGGAGTGTATGTCTGTTTTTCTCTCACCCTTTCCAGTCTCTGGGTTTTTCTCCTCACTCCGCAAGTTCTGGAAGTTCTCATATGTAACTGTCATGCTTGGACAAACAAACAGTAGGCCGTTGGGGCTGTCGGAACTGAAAGTGAGAGACAGGATCCAGGGTGATACAGAGCTGGGACCAAGGAGAAAGCTAGAAGCAGTATTTAGAGCTGAGATACAGACCGGAACTGAGATCAAATATGTCATGTGCTCCTACTAGAGTGAAAAGGGACTGGTGAGGGCCGGAGAGATGGTTCAGGAGTTAAGAGCACATGCTTCTTTCTCGGAGGACCCAGGTTCAGTTCCCAGCATCCACATGGTGGCTCCCAACCATCCATAACTCTAGTTCCAGGAGATTGAATATGCTCTTCTGATCTCTGTGGGCATCAGGCACATACGTGCTACATAGACATCCATGCAGGTAAAACTCACATAAATAAATAAATAGAAAAATTACAAAGGCGGGCAACGTGCAACTGAATTAGAAATGGGGTCAGGACTGGACTAAGTACCAGGGTTCAGCTGAGTTTGGAATTTGGAGGTAATGCCCAAAGCTAAGCTTATTGCTATTGCTAGGTCTAAGATGGGCCCGTCTTGAGAGTGTGCCCTTCCCTTGGACTGGCACCTGCACTTAGGCTGAAGCCATGGGAGAAACTGGGCCCAAGCTTGCAGTGAATCTGGTAGCAGAATAGGGTTGAATTCAAACTTTGATCAGGGCTTATTCGAATATTCAAACTGGATCTAGGACCGAAACTGAGATCAGGGTAGGACTGGGGCTAGAGACAATGATTGGGCTGCCACTGAGCCACCACTGGGGCTACATCTAGGTCTTTGTCTCACCTGGAATCTAATAAAGCGATCAAGTCCCACACTATCCTCTTGTATCTCTTCCTCCTTAGGGCCACCAATGCCCAAAGTTCCCCCTCTCCCTGCCTCTTCTAACACATTCCCTGTCCCACTGGTCTCCCTGGTGACCCCAACCCAGTTACCTGTGTCTGGAGACAGTGTCTCTTGGCTTCCCTGTGCAGCAATCACCAGGGGTAGGAAGTCAGTCAGAGTGGAGAACTAAATCCCGGAGGGTTGATGTGGGAGGGACCAAGTCAGAAGCTGCTACAGTCTTGCTGGGTTTTGTTTCCAGTGGTTTGTATTTTGGGACCTCCGATTTCAACTTTTAACAGCAAACAACTCGGAGTGGATTGTAACTGGTACACGTGCAGAGGTTAGAGGTGGGTGGGGTTGGGTTCGGGTTTGGGGCTAGCTTTGCACTTAATCTCAAGGGTGTGCCTTCTCCCATTCCTCTTTCTGGGAGCCCTCACGACTTCCTCATTTTTAGAGTGTTGGGGTGGGGGGTTGACCAGAAAGAACCGTCTGTTGTTTTCTCTTATGCCTTATCGTCATCCATTTCCTGCCTATGTATTTCCAAGAACTACTGGTGTCTCCATCATTTGCCCTCAAGCCCAGAGTAGCCCAACCTCTCACCTTGCTCCTTCCTGTCACGAGTCCACAGCATCTGACTATCACCCATTGGCTAGCTAGGGCTCCTTTGCTCCGTTCAGGTAGAAATCATCATGACTTGGCACGAGGCAGACCTGGGCCCTTGGATTCTGAATATTCTTTGTCTGAGCCAACAGCTTCAAGGCTCAAGTCCTGAACCAGAGGCTTCTGTTTCCAGACCCTAGAGGCCAGACTTATGGACTGGGCTGCTCAGACTGGAGGGGGCTGTTGCTCTGGGGTTTGACTGCTAATAGCCTGGCACCTGACAGCTCGTATAACCCTGACCTCTTAGAAGCAACCACTCACAGCAGGTGAGTGTGGCTAGTGTCACATCTCAAGTTGCAGGTGTCAGGAGTCTTGGCCCTTCGGGTTCACCCTTGCCCCTGGCCATTCTTTGGAATCTTTCAACTGCCTTCTTGCTACTGCTGTTCCGCTGTCTCCCTCTCATGTTGCCAGGTCAGACCCTGCCTTACTCTCAGTGAAAATCAAAAGGAATCAAAGAGAAGGACATTTGAGTGAAACCTGTAGTTGGGGCTAAGTTTGCAGCATCAGCAGCAGCCCTTTAGGGGTTTCTCCCCGCTAACTAGGAGAGAGAGCCAAATAGCCTGCTTCTTTAGCCAGAAGGGGTCATGGCAGAGTCATTTAGCCAATGGGCTGTGGTTGCACCAACCACACACTGTTTTCTAAGCTATCAGGAGCGGTCTCCCTCTGACCAGGGTGAAAGTGGCTGCTAGGGCTAAGTGAGGCTTAAGATGATAGAAAGTGTGGCGCAAGCTGTTTGAGTTATACCTGCCTCTGAGAGCTGACCTTGACAATCAGCTGTGGTTGCAATGTAGCTTTTGTTAGGAAAAAAATCCCAAGATGAGTGGCTCCACCAGTGCAAAGAAATCCAATAGGTCAGATCAAACTGAATTAATATGCCCATCGTTTCATTAAATATGGCGTGCTCAGGTGGCCGAGCGTATGGTGGGGAGACAGAAAAGCGGGGAGCACATGCAAACCAGGACCACGTGTTCCTCCTCTGGGAGCCCACTTAAATACCCCATGGGAGTGGCCCTGACCCCTCCTGGCATGCTGGGATTTGGAGTCCAGACCAATGCAACTCCCAGGCCAGGAGGCTGGGATGGAAACCAGGGGATGGGGCTATGCTCCAGACTTAACAGCTTTCTCAAGAAATCTGTACAGGGTTCAAAGCAACCAGATCAGCGTGCGTGGCTGATAGTCCTCTATCAGAGGTAGCCTGGGTATCGGAGAGAGATCTGACACCTGTCACTGCCACTTAAGAAGTTAAAATGCCATAACTGTCACCATTGCTTACTGGAAGAGGAAGAACAATTATGTCAATCACCAACAAACAGAAGTTAATATAACACTTCTCTTATTAACAGGTCAATTCTTACAAGAAATGTGAGTGACATTTGGGTGATGGATGTTTTGGGGTGTAGAACATTTTGTGACATATCCTAAGTCAAAAGGCTCATCCGGGAGACAGACAGAAGTCAACCCCAATGTTGCTGCCGCCCTGGCCTGGTTCTCTGAACATGTCTCCAATTCATCCATTCTGTGTGCCCTGAAGAGGCTGTGTTGGAGCTGTGCACGCTTCCTTTTCAAATGGAGGGTACGTGGGACTATTTTGGATCTTGTTTGTTAATTTAAGAAATAGATCAGAGATTTCCCTCTCTATCAGCTCATCAAGTGTGTTTTAGCAGCCTGTGACTTCTTTCATCACGTGTACAAGCATTTAAACATTTTCTTTGTTATTGTTGTTGCTTTGTTTTGTTTTCTGAGACAGGGCTTCTCTGTGTAGCTCTGGCTGTCCTGGAACTCACTTGTAGACCAGGCTGAACTCAAACTCACAGAGCTCTGCCTGCCTCTGCTTCCTTAGCACTGGGATTAAAGGTGTGCACAACACCACCGCCCTGCTCTGAGTGCTGGGATTAAAGGCATGCCTGATTCCCTTTTCTTATCATAAAACACGTAGGTTGTTTCCAATTTTTTTAGGCTCTTGCTCTTGTTAATGTTCTTCTGATTAGCACGTTGTTAGTCAAAGATAAACGCTATACTTTGGATCTGCAATGTCCTCCAAGTGCTCTGTATTAGAGGCTGGGTCCCCGGCTTGATACTGCAGGAGGACAGTAGGATGCCTAAGAGGGAAGGCCTACCAAGATGTCTTCTGGGCTGGGAGGACTTGAGGATGAGGGGAGCAGGGAACAGGGTCATGCCCTCTAAGAGGAATTACAGGAACCCAGTTGGCTCTTTCCCTTTCACTTCCTGGTCATTATGTGAGAAGTTTTGTGTGCCATACCATCCCACCGTGATGACCCAAGGCAATGAGGCCTGTCAATCATGGACTGAATCGTCTAGAAGTGTGGGTTAAAACACAGTAAGACACGGGCTGAACTAATCCCTTTCTCCTTGTGAGCTCTTTGCCCAGGCATTTGCTTTAGTGCGATAAAGCTGGCCAGTGCAGCCTGGCTTTTAGAAGCTAACCCTGAAACTGCATCCAGCTTCGGAGCTGTGTATAACCCAGCATACGTGCTCGAAGCAGGGAGAGGAAGGAGCAAACGGGGCGGGGGGGGGGGGGGGGGGGGGGGGGGGGGGGGGGGGGGGGGGGGGCTGGCGCCGTCTCCATCCGGAGAGCTCAAGGGGTTCATGCGGTGTTTCCACACAAATTGTTCAGCACTGGGCTGACAGGGTGGGGTTCCTAGATAGAAGATCGCCCCTTCCCCAGGGTTGTTTGTCACTGCTCTTTGCTCCTCCTGCCGCCCTTTGGCTTAGCGGTTTTCCCGACTTAACACAATTTGTGTTTATTCTCCGGTATGGGCCTGATGTCTCTGGTTCCTTAGCTCAGTAGACAGCTAAGGATGGAACAAAGAGAAATCTCCCAGTCTTTGCCCAGGAACTCTATGTGTGGGACACGCTGTCGGAACACTGGCATGGGAAGCCCTGCTGTAGCCTCCGCTTCCTGCCTGTGCAGCGCCTCAGGCTGAGGCAGCTGTGAGAAACCGTCAGGCTCTAGGCGTGTAGACAACTGAGTACATGTCCTTGGTCTTCTGGATCCGCCAGAATGCACTGAGACTTCTATAACCCCCTATGAAAACTGTAATAATCCACACGAGAAAGATACAGACAACCACGCTAATTGAGCCAATTAAAAATATATGAATCTTTTATTAGCCAGCGATGAAGACCAGGTTCATGCCTCAGAGTCTCTTGGTATCCAAGCTCAGGGCCACAGCGTTTTAAAAGGCAAAAATCACAAAAATCTCAGAGCAAAAAGCGTATGAGAGTCAGAGCAACCTTGAAGTGTTCTTCCTGCCTGAAAAATCAGACACAACATGACAGTTATTGTTGACTAATACCTTTTTCAGTTATTTGAGGTCCCACGAATTGTTTTGGTTAATACGTGTAGACCATGGTCAAGGCTGTGGGAATGTCCAATGTGTTGCCAAGGCAGATGGGAGCGGTGGAGAGCAGAGAACGATCTACGCAAACACAAAATGGGGTTGGCACAAGGTGGTGCGCCTTAGTCATTTCCCCATTTCTTTTAGTTACTCTTAAAT